AGTTATGTTTACACTATACTATAGTCTATTAAGTGTGTAACAGCACTATGTCTAAAAAATGTACATACCTTAATTAAAAAATACTCTCGTTTTGCATATTCAGTTAAAAAAAACTTTGTTGCTAAAAATTACTAAAGATCATCTGAGCCTTCAGCCAGTTGTAATCTTTTTACTGATGGAGGTCTTGCCTTGGTGTTGATGGCTGCTGACTGATCAGGGTGGTGATTGCTGAAGGTTAGGATGGCTGTGGCAGTTTCTTAAAATAAGACAGCAGTGAAGTTTGCTGCATCAGTTGACTCTTCTGTTCAAAGATGTATCCGTAGCATGCAATGCTGTTTGGTAGCATTCTCCCACAGTAGAACTTCTTTCAAAATTGGAGTCAGTCCTCTCAAACCCTGATGCTGCTTTATCAATTAAGTTTATGTAAAATTCTAAATCCTTTGTTGTCATCTCAACATTGTTTACAGCATTTTCACCAGCAGTAGATTCCATCTCAAGAAACAACTCATCTGTTCATCTATAAGAAAGAACTCATCTGTTCAAGTTTTAGGAAATTGCAGCAATTGACTCCACTTCTAATTCTAGTGCTTTTGCTGTTTCCACTACATCTGCAGTTACTTCCTCTACTGAAGTCTTGAAGACCTCAAAGTCATCCATGAGGAGTGGAATCAAATTCTTCCAAACTCCTGTTAATGTTGACGTTTTGATCTCCTCCCATGAATCATGAATGTTCTTAGTGGCAGCTAGAATGATGAATCCTCTCCAGAAAGTTTTCAGTTTACTTTACCCAGATCTATCAGAGGAATCCCTATCTATGGCAGCTATAGCCTTACAAAATATATTTCTTAAAGACTTGAAAGTTGGAATTTCTCCTTGATCAATGAATGGCAGAATGGATGTGTTAGCAGTCATAAAAACAACATTAATCTCTTTATATATCTCCATCAGAGCTCTTGAGTGACCAGGTACATTGTCAATAAACAGTAATAATTTGAAAGGAATCTCTTCTGAGCAGTAGGTCTCAAAAGTTGGCTTAAAATATTCATTAAACCATGCTGTGAACATATGTGCTGTCATCCAGGCTTTGTTCTTCCATGTGTAGAGCACAGGCAGAGTAGATTTAGCATAATTCTTAATGGCCCTAGGATTTGGGGAATGGTAAAGAGTCTTGGCTTCAACGTAAAGTTACCAGCTGCTTTAGCCCCTAATAAGAGAGTCAGCCTGTCCTTTGAAGCTTTGAAGCCAGGCATTGACTTCTCTCTACCTATGAAAGTGCTAGATGGCATCTTCTTTCAACATAAGGCTGTTTTGTCTACATTGAAAATCTGTTGTTTAGGGCAGCCATCATCATCACTTATCTTAGCTAAATCTTCTGGATAACTTGCGGCAGCTTCTCCATCAGCACTTGCTGCTTCACCTTTCACTTTTATTTTATGGAGACAGCTTCTTCAATCTCATGAACCAATTTCGCTAGCTTCTAACTTTTCTTCTTCAGCTTCTTCACCTTTCTCAACGTTAAAGAGAGTTAGGGCCTTGCCCTGGATCAGGCTTTGACTTAAGGGAATGTTGTGGCTGGTTTGATCTTCTATCCAGACTACTAAAACTTTTCTCCATATCAGCAATAAGGCTGTATCACTTTCTTACTGTTTCGTGTGTTCACTGGTATAGCACTTTCGATTTCCTTCAAGAACTGAAGGAAACTTGGCTGTTTGGTGCAACAGACATAGCTTTCAACCTGTCTCAGCTTCCTTCCTCACTAAGCTTAATCATTTCTAGCTTTTGATTGAAAGTGAGAGATGTTCCTTTCACTTGAACACTTAGAGACCATTGTAGGGTTATTAATTGCCCTGGTTTCAATATCGTTGTGTCTCAAGGAATAGGGATTCCAGAGGAGATGGAGAGATATGGGGAATGGCTGGTTGGTGGAGCAGTCAGAACACACATAACATTTATCAATTAAGTTTGGCACAATTCGTGGCCTATGTAATGATAACAGTAGTAACATAAAAGGTCATAGATCACCGTAACAGATATAATAATAATAATGATAATGGAAAAGTTTGAAATATTGGGAGGATTACCAAAACATGACACAAAGATATGAAGTGAGCATATCCTGTTGGAAAAATGGCACTGATAGATTTGCTCAACATATGATTGCCACAAACCTTCAATTTTTAAAAATACGCAGTATCTATAAAGTTCAATAAAGCGAAGCAGGTCTGGGCGGGGTGGCTCATGCCTGTAATCCCAGAACTTTGGGAGGCTAAAGCAAGAGAATCAGAGGCCAGGAGTATGAGACCAGCCTGGGCAACATGTAGAGATCCCATCCCTACAAAAAAAAATTAAAACAATTAACTGGGTATGGTGACGCACGCCTATGGTTTCAGCTACTTGAGAGGCTGAGGGAAGAGGATTGCTTGAGCCAAAGAGTTTGAGGTTGCCACAAGCTATGATCGCACCACTGCGCTTGATCCTGGGCAACAGAATGAGGCCCTGACTCTAAACACAAACACACACACACACACACACACACACACACACACACACAGTGAAGCACAATAAAGTTAGCTATGCCTGTAATTTACTTGGAACTTCCATTTGTATGTGGGCATAAGGCTGCATTTCGTTTGATTTTTCTTTATGTCTTGAGCAGTTTGGCCTTTGTCCATTGTGTGGTACTATCTTTATCCTGTCTTAAGTTCCTATTCATACATGGATCTGTCTTAGAGCTCTTTTGTTACATTGATTTATGAGAGGCAGCATAGTTTATTTGTTAAGAGCTTCAATTTTGGCTCCACTATTTATTAGCTAAATGATCTTGGGTAAGTCACTTAACCTCTCTGTACCTCAGTGTCTTCATTTGTAAAATGGAAATAATGCTACATAACACACAAGGTTGTTATGAGGTTTAAATAAATTAAGATTTTTAAAGTGCTCGTTATACAATAGTAATTTTTATATAGTGTTTTTAAAATACATAAGTATAAACTATTTGTTCTTCTGATATACTTTTTTATTACTTTGGCTTTATAAATTTTTGTAATTTTTGGTAGGCAAGTCCCTCTTTCTTCTCATGCTACATTTTATGCTTTTTAAAAAAACTTTACTTAGTTATTCCTAAACTATTCTTCCATTTAAATTTTAAGGCATTTTTCTTGAATATGCTTGTGCTTTCTTGATTTAAATTAGTCTGACAAAATGCTACAGAGATGCTGACTGTGATGTAGTATAGATGATTATTTGGGGGTAAGCAGGTATGACTTGCTTGGATCTGATGAAACTTGATGCTGTTTGTGAGAGTAAGTAGCTGTCCCGATTTACTGTTCACTTGTCTATAGTGTAGAAGCTTGTTTTCCCCCTTCCTCATATTGTGTTTCTTTTCTTTCTCTTTTGTTTTTATATCCTGTACCTCTCTGCTTGATTTACTAATAATGAATGGCAGAAGGTCATGAAATTAATATAATTCTTTTGTCATCGTTATTTGGTATGTATCCTCTTCCATCATCCTACCTTCCTTTTAAAGTGTTGCTTTTAACCAAACTAATCTGTGTGCTCCTGCATGCAGTAGACCTTCAGTTTAATTTTATTTATATACTGCTGCATGAAAACATTTCTTTTTGGATCATTGCACTGATTCTTTTTGCATAGTAACTTTCCACATCCCCTAAAGGCTTGAATGAAATTAAGATCTTCTAATTTCTTAGACTCTGTAGAACTTCAAGAAAATCTTGGTATAATATTATAGAATTAAGAATTTTGGCTTTGCATACATATATTCTGGATTCATATCTCTGTTTTGTCACTTAGAGCTGTTTGACCTTGAACAACTTACCAAATGTCTTTATGCCTAAGTTTCTTTATGTGTAGGTACATTGCGTGGCCTCACATATAGTAGGAATCCAGTAAAGATTGTATTCATTTATTCAGTTAATAAGTATTAAGCAGCTTCTATGTGTTGGCCATTGTAATAAGCACCAAAATTAAAAGAAGCAAAAATCTTTGCTCTCTTAGAGCTTACTTTATGCTTGGGGGAAGAGAATAAAAAATGAGGTCTTCAGTACATCAGATGATCAGATGTTGCAAAGTAGTATGGAGAAAAATAAAGCAGGGAAGGAGTGCTGGAGGATGAGTACTCTTTTAGATAAGGAAGTCATGGAAGGCCCCTCTGCTATAATGAGACTTTAGAAAGAAGGCCATTTGGATATTTAGGAACAGCAAGGAGAAGCAGTGTGGCTAGAGTAAAGGATGGGAGAGGTAGATGAGGTCAGAACGATACAGGGTCTCATAGTTCATTAAGTGATTTTAACCTTTGCTCTGAATATGATGTGGATCCTTTGGGATAGTGACATGACCTAATTTACCTTCCAAAAGTTAAAGCTCTGTTGTTGGGAATGGGCCATTGTGAGGCAAGGGACAACATTAGGAGGCTATTGCAATAAGTCATGAAAATAATGAAAAGTGATTAGAACCTGGATGTATTTTATGGGAACTTTTAACCTTTATTAAAAAATAGCTTCTGCCTTGATAGTAATATAATTTGTTGGACATAATCTTATCTTTTTTTGAGTTATTCAGAATTTTTTACTAAGTTTTAAGTATATAAATGCAGAGATACTTAAAATTTGTGATACAATTCATTTCCTATAGTTTGCATGTTTTTCCTTAATCTGGTAATGGCAAACACCTCGATTAATTTAGCAAACAAGGGATCAATTTTCTTGTAATTGAAATTTTAAATTCTAGTTTGTGAGTATGTATATACTTACTTTTGAAATTCCACTGATGAAAATTGTAATAATCTAAGGTGATATCAGTATGAGCCACGAGTATTAATGGAGAGTGATGGCAGTATTTCTATAGGTCTTCAGCGAAGAAACTATTTATAATTGATTCTAAAAGCACTTTGTAATGATTAAACAAAGTATTACTTTTAAATAGAATTATGCATTGATTAATATTATTAAAACAACTTATGTTGCCTACTTTACATTTTCCAGGAACATCATTTACAGCGAGCTATTTCAGCACAGCAAGTGTTTAGAGAAAAAAAAGAGAGCATGGTCATTCCTGTTCCTGAGGCAGAGAGCAACGTCAACTATTACAATCGCTTGTACAAAGGAGAGTTTAAACAGCCAAAACAGTTCATTCATATTCAGCGTAAGTTTGTTAATTTATTGTTTTCTGTTTATAATTTTAAGTTGATCAACCAGTGAAAATCTTTTGCCCAAAGAGATTTTAATTTTTCAGATCATACCCACTGATGAATAGAAATGTTAAACATTAAAGAATAAAATCTCTCTATGTTTGCATCTGAACTTGGAGATCATTTGGAGTTTTAGTAGCATTTGTAACATTTGATGTTTATGTAGTATAGGATTTTGTATAGCACTTACACTTTATTACACAGCTAAAAGGTGGTAGATTTCCATACCCAAATGAGATTTACTTTTAAAGGCCCAGTGGCCCTAATGCCTAGGAATAGAGATGAGACTTCTGAAATTTTTCAGAATTAGATCCTACTCCTCTACCTTCATCTAGCTTTTATAAAATTCTGTCTAATTCTGTCTCCTTAATACTCTGTTTTCCTCCCACTGTTGCTGTTTAAATGATCACCATTTCTAGCCTTAAAATTATTTCAGTAATCTTCTGTTATATTTACTTCCCTCTTATTTCTCATCCTTAGCTCTTCTAATCTATCTTCTCTCCACAAAGTTAGTCTGCACTGGATTAGTTTTCCTAAATAGTCAGTCTAATCAAATTATGCTCTTGATTAAAATCATACTGTTCTTTATTGTCTACAGTAGGAGTTTTCAGCTGATTCTGCAGACAGATACTAATGTCTTGGTGTCTTGTCTGGTGTATAAAAAAAATATTGGGTAGCTTATTAAAATAGAGATTCCAGGGCTCAACTTCTGGCCTACCTTAAGTGTACCTGCCCATCTGAGAATCTCTTGGTGTACAGCCTGGTGGTGTGTATTTTTTAAAATTTCCTCAAGTAATTTTGAAACATCATCAGATTTCAGACTGACTATAACATAGACTTTTTCATTGATTCTTAGATCCACCTTTTTCATCTTTGAAATGAGACTGCATCTTAAATTGCTGTTGTGCAGGACCAAAATCTTGTTCTTCTAAAGAGAACTTTGCATTTGTTTCTGCCACGCATTGGAGGACACTGCCCACCTGAGACCACTTTAGTCTTTGCTTGTTTGTTTTGTTTTATTTGTTTGTTTTTGAACCACAGTATTAGCTTTATTCAGGCTATTGACCTGCTTGGGATTTAAATCCCAGAAGGAGATTTTTTTCTCCCCTTCTACCTAAGAGCAAGTTAAGAAGTATATAAAGTTCTTTTCTGCATGCTAGTTTATTTCTTTTTTTTGAGACAGAGTCTCACTGTGTTGCCCGGGCTAGAGTGCCGTGGCATCAGCCTAGCTCACAGCAACCTCAAACTCCTGGGCTTGAGCGATCCTCTTGCCTCAGCCTCCCGAGTAGCTGGGACTACAGGCATGCGCCACCATGCCCGGCTAATTTTTTCTATATATTTTTAGTTGTCCGATTAATTTCTTTCTATTTTTAGTAGAGACGGGGTCTCGCTCTTGCTCAGGCTGGTTTCGAACTCCTGAGCTCAAACAATCCGCCCGCCTCGGCCTCCCAGAGAGCTAGGATTACAGGCGTGAGCCACCGCGCCCTGCCGTAGTTTATTTCTTTAATCTTATACTGAGAGTATAGCCCCTTGTAGTGTAGCTTTATGCAAGAGTATTCTGTTCTATTAAACTTATGTTAAGACCCAAGTATAAAGTTTTTTCTTTCTCCTGTAGTATTGGTGCATCTTGTAATTGATGGCAGTTTCAATTTGATAGAATTCAGTAATAGTCAGATTCTCTAGTATGAATGTAGGGTCCTTTGTAATTTGTTCCCTGCCTTCTCCTTTAATCTCATTTCTTTTTGCTCTTCCCTTCACTCTCTGAAAATTACCCACATTTGCCTTATTGCACACTTCCTTGGATGTGCTATTGAAGTCTTCTTTCCTTTCCTGTGTCTCATTTAAGACCCAACTCCCTTGAGAAGTTTATCCTACCTCATTCTACCTCTCTTCTTTGCTTATCAGAGTGTCTTATACATACCTCTGTTAGAGGACTCACCATACTCTGTTGCAATTATTTGTAACCATTCTTTCTCTCCTTTTAGACTGCCAGCTCCTTGAGGGCAGGAGGTATGTTTTCTTTTGTGTCTTCAGAGTAAAGTGCTTGGCTCGTCATATGCTCAATAAGTGACATGTTTATTGACCAAATTGTTTTAAAATGGCTTTTAAAAAGCCCTTTGGTGGTAGAACCATTTTCTAGAGCTTCTTTTCTCTGAAGCATTCCAGAGAAACACACATGCAAAAATTATTTGTGTGATTTGTTTCCTCTGTGTTCTTTGACTTTGAGTCCCTTTAGCTTGTTAAGTTTGCTCTTACCTTGTATCAGTTAGGAAGGGGACAGCTGTTCATGATAGGAATTTTAAGGATCCCTCTTAAGCCAAAGTATTGGTTGTTTTGTATTTTAATAATGGTGGAGCTAGATAGCAGGACCATTTGTAAAAACCATTCTTGGAAACCAAGAACCAAAAATTGGGTGTAACTCAGCTGGACCAGGCCCATTGAATACAATAACCATTATTTTTGTGTTGGTTCTTTCATTTCATTTTATTCAATTATTGTAAAAAATGGAATAAAAATAATAGAAAATTATTTTAACTTTCATTTTTTTCTTTTAGTCTGTCAGCATATACTACATACTATACTATAGAATATCATACTGTACATAAAATTTTCTATTCTGTTTATTCATATTTTGTTTCTCAGGTTTTTATAGTCTGTCATTTTTAATATATATATAATATTCCATCGTATTGATATTCCACAATTTCCTCACTTATATGCCTATTATTGGACTAAAGGTTATCGGTGCTAAATTGTAAATTCATGTTATTATTGACTTTTTTCAAGGAAGGCTTAAAATCTCTTTTACATAATTTCTTGCTAAGCCCTTAAATAGAAGGAATTTCAGGAAATATCACTCTAGATTTTACCTTTTCTTCTTTTAATGATTTGAAAGAATCTCCATTTACCTGGCTTGGAAAAAAAAAATTGTATAATTGCCATAGGAGGGTTTCCTAATTGAGGCTCATCACATTTCCTGAGCTTTGGCAGGAATCTCCTACTGCTTTAGTCTTGATACCTTCCAATCCATCATCCATACTGCTGCTATTATGATTACTACCCATTTCAAAATTTTTCAGTGACTCTTTTTTGCCTATAGGACAAAATTTTAAGATCTTTTTGTCCTGTATAAGTCCCTTCTTTGTGCCTGCCCAGCCACATTTTCCTGTGTGTTCTTCCATTATGACACCAACCTTATTGAAATGAACTATTTGAGGATCTTTTTCCTCCTTTAGACTATAAGCTTCTCAGGAACAGGAGCTCCATCTCATTCACTTTAGTATTGTTATTACCCAGTACAGTCCCAAACTGCAGTCTCAATATACTTTTCCCCCCCTAATTTCTCTAACCTTTCATGCTTTAAGCTACAATAATAACAAGCTCCTTACAATTCTTTGACTTATGCGTTATTTTCTCACGTATTCATGAAGCCCTTTTTATTCTCCACTTGTTAAAATACAATTTGCCTCTAAGGTTACTTTTGGGAGCTTTTTCGTGCCTTCTTTTAGCATTGTTCTTGGAATTGTTTATATGAAGCCCTCTTGTGTCACCTTTATTGTGGCAGTGACCACCTTCAGCTGTGATTGTTTCCCCTTTGTTGCCTCACTAAGCTATAAAGTTCATTAAGAGCAGGGCCTTTTTTTCTTTGGATTTTACTACCTGGTGTGGTTAGGTATGCAGTTAAATATTTGTTGAATAAATAAAATAAGAGTGAATGAATTGATGGTTGAAGATAAAAGCATATACTCTATGACATTTTTAAGACATCAGCATTGTAGGTCTCAAAATTGTACACAGAATCAAATAGAAGGCTAAAATTATTAATGCACATAGTAAAACTGATAGACCTGTTGTGTGGCATCTAACATCAAGTTAGAAATTAAAAGATGAGTTCTGTTATTCACCAACTATGTCATTTTAGGGCAAAAAATGCTGAGAGGAGTTGGGAATGAATGACTCCAGTCTGGTATGGACATGGGATAAACATTCTTATTCCTATCCCTTACAGCAGCAGCCCCCAACCTTTTTTGGCACCAGGGACCAGTTTCATGGAACACAGTTTTTCCACAGCCGGGGGTTGTGGGGGGAAATGTTGTTTCAGGATGATTCAAACACATTACATTTATTGTGCATTTTATTTCTATTATTATTACATTGTCACTTGCCACTCACTGATAAGGTTTTGATATGAGTCTGCAAGCAATTGATTTATTATGGTCTCTGCGCAGTCAAACCTCTCTGCTAATGATAGTCTGTATTTGCAGCCACTACCCATCACTGCCTCAGCTCCACCTCAGATCTTTAGGCATTAGATTCTCCTAAGGAGTGTGCATCTAAATTCCTTGCATGCACAATTTACGGTAGGGTTCGCTCTCCTGCGAGAATCTTAATGCTAACGCTGATCTGATAGGAGGCGGAGCTCAGGCTGCGATGCAAGTGATGGGGAGCGGCTGTAAACACAGACAAAGCTTCCCTTGCCAGTCACTTGCTTCGTGCTGTGCATCCCAGCTCCTAATAGGCCACTGGTGCCGGTCTGGGGGTTGGGGACCACAGCCTTACACTACCAATTCTCCATAGTCACCCATATTGGTATTCTGGGGGACTTTAAATTTAATCACAGCACATTGGGGTGTTCTCACCAGGTTAGAAGCATCTTGAAGGCACCATAGTCTTTGATGACCCAAGATACTCAGCTCTTCCTCATTTATACCGATTCTACACACTAGTCATTTGTGTACCACATACAGAGAAAAATACTACCTATTTTAAGTTATAACACATTTACTTCAGATACCTCAACCCAGATGTTCTTTCATTCCTTTTGTAGTTCAGTAACTTCATTAACTTCAGGAACCAAGCTTTTCTTCTTAGGGAAACAACTTTGTTTACATTTTAATAAGTTATTTATTTGATCTCTCATTACCCCTTTTATATAATATGATATACAGTTGAC